AGAATTATACAAGGTGATTCACGAGGAATAATGAGCCTGACCAAATTCTCGATGCAACCACCATTACTCTTCGCAAGTTATTTTGTGACAACTGTAATGTTATTATTCCTCGTGAATCACCCTGTATACAATAATGAAGTTTTAAGTACAGATTTGGTCGTTTCAGGTAAAGCAAAAAATGTTTTTCTTTTGCAGTTTGGGCGTAAAATCAAAGATATTTTTTTTCCCTCTTGTAAACTGAATCCGCGGTCATACTGTAATTTTTTTTATTTAATGTATTTAATGTTACAAAAATAATTTAACATAAAATTAATTGTAATTGTTTATAGAAAATTGGTTTCTGAATTTTTTTGTTAAGTGCTTTCAACAACTGGATCTATGCGCTTGATGCTAGAATCCCTTCAGTCTTTCCGCTGTTTTGCTTATGAGCCGAAATCATAAATTGTGTTGTTTACTGAAATGTGTTCTGTCGGTGTGAGTGATATCGTTGTCGGTTCTTCGTGCACAGTCTTTCTTCACGTGGTGGCCGTTCAGGGCGTCGGTCCGTAATTTAGCTTCGGCATTGGTTCGTGTAAGTGAAGAGGGATTTGACGCTGCAGTTGATTTGGGGGTGTAATAATTCACAGTCAGTGAAGATGAAAGGGTGTCAGAGCAATGTTAGGCAGGAAACGGAAACCGAGAAGCCCATGAGAGCTTAATTCAGAATAACAAGTATATGGGTCCGACAGATCCGGTCGGATTAACGACTTATGCCGGTGATCGATTAACTTATTAGCCTGAAATAATTCAACCCGGTCAAGCAGTGCTCATGAAATTTGCATGATGCGTTAATTGAACGCGAGAGAGGATAGATATTTTGCGATCGTTTTCTCGGAGACAATGCGGATTTTGATTTAGATACAATAAGTTAGTTTATCGACGAAGGCGTGAACGGTACCGTCGTCTTCTGGTGTGTATACAATGAAGCGATACAAAGGATGATGTGCACGTATTTCACCGAGAAAAACACGTACAGTTAAGTAGACAGTCTGACATTAACAAAGGCCCCACGCCATCCTCCATTGTTTAGAGTTTCTCTTGTTTTTAGTTACAATCACTATCTTCGTTCACGACGCCGTATTGAGTTCTACCCCTTTTCTCTATAACTCCAGTTAACAACATTGAAATCGGCGCTCTATCCAATTACCGGTATCACATTTTGTCAACAGCTTTTTGGGCCACAAAAAAACTTTTCTAAAAAAATTTAAATATCGAACGGAACTTTAATAAGGCGAAGTTTTCTTAAGTAAGCAGCACTTGAAAACTCACCGAAAGTTCAAGATTCTTGGGAACCTTAATTGCAATTTGCTCATAGGCCAACCGTGACGGTTGTATACGTCGCAATATATTATCGCGAGAATGATCGATTTTGGAGAGGAAAGTGTGAAAAGTGGGGCAAATTAGAGCATCCTGGATCCGACCCCCTTAAAGCGAGTAGACTCAATTTGCGTCGTTTTGTGAGGGTAAGAAAATGTCTTTTGCGATCTCGGCTCCCTCGAGTGACACCCTAACCGACAAAACGCAAACAAATGTAAAATTTAAATGTTAATTTGGCAATTGTTGGCCGTTGTGCCTACGAAATTACATACATTGATACATAGAAAAATTTCAGATCCGAATTTATTACGGCCCTTTTTCTCAAAGACACGGCAGTTTCTCTTTGATCTTTGAATAAATACATATTCAGGCCGAATACTACAATTTAAGTTTCATCGGAATGAAGATTTATTCAATTTCGCATTTAATATGTTCGCTTGCGACAAATTGCACATGACATAAATGTGGGATGAATGATGGAACAATTAATGAAGTGGCGTACAGGTGAAGTTGCATTTCGCTCGATAACCGAACGAAATGCAAATTCCTGTTGTATTCAACTAATGAAGGGTGAATAATGAGATGAAGAAGTGCTGTGACATACCGTACTCCGCTCTTTGCGTACCTTAGACGACCCTATCTCCCTAGTGGAGATCCCCATCTTCTTGTGCTGGCGTAACTGTACGGGATAAATGATCTGGTAGTAATGAGAGCCGATGTTTCTGACCATCTCCTGGTTCTGCGTGTACTCCCTAAGGAGCCGCTCCACCTCCCCTGCAAAATTACAAATCTCTTCATAAACATGCCACTTGATAAATGAACGGATCTAACAAATAAACACGTTCATCGCTTATATATGTTACTTCCTTCATTATTTCATAAATAACGACCGAAAAGAAATTGCTTTCAAACATTTTTCATTGTCAGACTCGGTGCGAAACAGGAAGGCGGGAGAAGTAAYATAAATTTCGCAAATTTAACAGCGGATGCAAGCCAGCGCAATAATCAAAACTTACCATTATTAGAAAATCATTTTAACCAAACGGTAATGCACCGCAAACAACTTTTCAGTTTTGCAGAAAAATGGCGCTCCGGTGACATCATTTCAACAAGTTAAAATTAATCCCTTCTGAATTAACGCCCTTTTAAACTGAATTTAAGCAACCCTCTACCACGTTATATTTATGTTTTATATACGGTGTGCACTTCCAAGAGTGTAGAAACCAACAACTATAAATTCGAAGTGGATTAAAACACTAGATTTAAACCCAGCGGTTTATTTTTTGAATGTCTATAATAAGTCTTTTAGTTTACCTTTTTCTCAGGTTCCATAAAACCAAAAACTAAACTTTTATCAATTTTTTTAAGACACATATGTAAGTTTCATATAATAGTTTTTAATTTTCATAATTATGGAGCCCTATTTGTGATGAGAAATGCAAAAGTAATGTTTAGAAAATTTGTCTTCTCTTTAAGTAATAATAAAATTAGAGCGAGAGAACAACTTATGTGTTTTTTTTTCATTAAACGGGAAAAATTCCCGAAATTTTTAATCGTTATTAAAAACTTATATCCCCGGAGTGTGCAAAATATCTAATTAAAGTAATAAATTTATATTAAGTGTGCCTACTTTTATAGAAAAGGGAAACAGCAGCTAGCAACTAAAATGGCTGAGTTTACTTGGCGTTTCCAATTTTGTTATAATATACCGCCTTAATTAAGGGCATGCTAATTACGATAAAAGTCAACATAACTGCCTTGAGAAACACAGGATTTCAAAAAGATAATAAATCTTTGAGTTTACTTGTATGTCTTCTGCCAAATTTGCCAAATCTGGTTTAATTAAAGTGTACAATATGCAGAAAAAAAATGTGTGGCAATGCGCTTACCTTTGAGAAGTATAAAAAACCAGCTTATTATTAGCATGCACTTTCTATTTTTATTTGAATTTAATGAAATATAGTAAAGAAATTTTTTTGTTGTGATCACTATTTTCATTTTAGAAGGTTTTTTACAGGGTGTCCCAGCGAGTTGAAAAAGTCTATTAGTGATGTCATGTATGTCCCAAAAATAAAATACGAGACGAACTTGTGTTTTTTAAATAAAACACCGTATGTTTCTTTGCATTTTTGGATGTACCTAGCCTTTTAAAATAATGTTTTTACGCTAAACTTTTATTAGTCGATTTTGCTTAGTTTTAGAAATAAGACGGTTTTTTTTATCCGTTGATTTATCCAGAGATTGCAAATGTGATTAATAAGTGATGTTTCTTCCATCTCATATTCAACTATGCACTTTTTGGCAAATTTTTATTTAATTATTCTTTTTTGAATGTTTAACGTTAAATATCTTTTTCTATTTCGGTGTTAGAATAAGTCTATTCCAGCACCCAAATGATGTCATTTGAGTGCTGGAATAAGTCGTTGGCGGTAATTTAATTTTAGTGACGGATTTTCTTCACAATTCACTTTCAAATGTGAAAATATGATTTATATTTATTTTGTAAAGCCGCCTAAAATTATTCCACATACCTAAATGTCGGCAACCTTCGCAAAATTCTCTAGAAAAAAATTAAATTTTCGTTTTTTAATTTATAAAATGATATAAAGCGGTAAAATAGAAAAAAATAGTATAAAGCACTTGTTGCAGAAGGTTCTTCAAGCACTCATTTGTTCCTCAACTCGCCGCTACGCGGCTCGTTTGGGAATTTCAAATTTGTGCTTGAATAGATACCTTCTGCAACTTGTACTTTAATATACTATTTTAGTTATTGATTATAAACATCTAAAAGTAAATAATTCATTTAATAATCTTTTAAATGCAAAAACTATAAATAGGATATTCCTTTTAAATTTTTTAAGTTATTAAACTTTTAATAAACGCCTTCTTTTTTTTTCTTTGCAAATGCAACACACTAAAAAATGTTACAACCTTATAGCTTGTACCTTCTTCTTTGTGGTAGTAAAAAAATATTTCTAGATGTCTTAGTTTTTGTGTTTTTGTGCCATTTAAAGATTACTAATGGACTTTTTTAACTCTCTGGGACACCCTGTATGTTTGAAATAATTGCAGTTTCTTATTTTTTTTTTGTTTTTTCTCTCAATGTTGTCGTAGAGCTTGAGAATTAATAAAAAGTGTAACCAACAATTTTACATTTTTTTTCCCGAAACGTCATGAATAAACTGTAAATGCGTTAGTTACATTTTTCATTAATTCCCAAGCTCCACAACAACATGAAGAAAAAAAATTATACGTTTGATTATGATTATTTGATTATCTACATAGAACTTTTTGTAAATGGTGAATAGGGGATATTATGCAAATCGGTGCATTGATCCCATTTAGGCAGCGCGAGCATTTTTCGAGCTGCTGAGCTTTGTATGTTGTTTTGCAAAACCGGGATAATTGGGTAGTCAGTGCGTGTTGGTCTCGTTTGGGCGTCATAGGCGTGAAACGTTACCGTCGGGATGAATCCCATAATAGAAAACAACAGTAATAACAGAAAAACGAACAAAGAGAGAAAAAATACCGATGGCTTCGCGCTGAAGAGAAGTGGAGCGAATCATACAGTTTGAAAATAACAAATCCCGCCCATTGTATGYGGCTTTGTTCGATTTGAATCCGGCAATGTTACATTTTGTAGCCGGCAGACAATGCGCACAAAGAATCTCCCGTACATATCGAAAATATGGACTATCGGTGTCGTCGGTAAATCACAGTGTAATTGCTCTGCGCTTTGATCTCGCCTCTCAGGTGATTTACCGAACCGATGACTTCTTTCCGTAATTAAAGCCACCTTGACTGGACTAATCACAAATGATTCCGTGTTGATTGTGGAATTCTGCGGTTTGGTTTGTAAACAGTTGTGGTTACAGCCAGGTAATGGAAGCACTAGAAAAGCTTCGTCCGGACGGATATTAGATTGTTGCTCTGACCGCATGTACTGAATTACATGTCCTGCATGTAGGGACAAGACTGCCATGTTTTATTGCAGCACGTCGACAACAGTGAACTTTAATTACCTGCAGAGTTTGGGGAAAAATTTGCGGTTATTAATTAGACTCGCGAACTTATTATTCATGCAGCGTTAATAATTGCACATTTCCCATTATCTCTCAGAATGACTCCAGATTCGGGAATTTACGAGCCGCAAAAGCACTTGCAAGCTCTTACATTTCTCGAGGAATGTTGAAACACACGATTTTCACTATTTTACTGCATTATTATTACACATTTAATCGAGAATCTGGTTCGGTACAACGTCAATAATGATAATAAAATAAGAATAACGCGAGACTGGTAAAACACTCGAAATGTCTCCATTACGAAGAAGCCCTTCTCAATCTTCGTGAAAATTAGTCACACTGTACTAAATTTAACAAAATTGATGAATGGTGGGATAATAAACAGCGCGCATTTAATCACAGGTGCAAGTATGCCATCACGTCCGCCACCACTTACATGCAACAAGATAAACGGTGCAATTTTTTAATTAAATTTTGAGCTCTTCAGGCACACCGTATAATTAAATTTACGCCGATCGTGTTTTATTTTCGTTCCACAGGTGTCCGACAGTAACAAAGTGGTATAATGTAGATGTACGCAGAGAACAATCGTTAAAAGTGTCACATCATCACGGACTTGTTACAGATGAATGGAACGATTTGTAAAAATTTCAACAGATAGGTTTTACCTAATGAGGTAATTTGGAATATAAAAACTTCCATTGAGTTGAATTATTCGCTAACGACGACAATTAAACTTGGAGAGTGTTCTAAACACCCCTAAAGACTACCGGACGATTGTTCGTGCAAAATGTGTTAATCGTCAGTAATGAGAGTCACTTTTGAGAGTCTGCTAAGAAATTAGTTTCTTTCTAATTCACTACCATGAGTACTTGGGCTCCAGTTGCGTTGCGCTACAAACCACCAGTTAGAATGGTTCAACTGTGTTTCGAAATTCATTTATCGAAAGCCATTGAATAACCATTTTAATTTAATTATTTATTAATGAAGCAAAGCAAATTTATATCCCAAATGCACCGAGCAACTTTCAATATAACAAAAGCGACGATTATGCCGAGTATTATTCTACATAAACTAAAAACCGTGGTTCAGTAATTTAACTATTTGAGAAACTTTGTAACATACAAAACGTCAATTTAATCGTAGTGTTTGTGATCATGTTTTGATTGCCAGTCCAATATATTTAAATGTTATATTTATAATCATTAACAGAATAAAAATCTAATATGTCATATTTTTTAATTGAAAACAATAAATATGAATTTAATTTTTAAACAATCACATTCAGCTTAAGTTAACTATGATAATAAATAGGTATTAAAAAATTTAAAATGTTTAACAAATAAATTGTTTGTGCGGTTGCGTTTTGTGCGTTTAGTTAATAGTTAACAGGATGTTTGTTTCTGAAAAAAACACATATTATTGGAAATCGAATATATTTTAATTTGTATAATTTTATATATTAATTAGGAGTAATATTCAAAAATGAGAGCTTACTTGAGTTTTTTGATGATACATTTGTTTCTAATTTATAAAATTTTTTAGGTTTGTTGATAATTAAATCAAAACGTCAAAATTGTTGGCAGACTCGTTAATAAAATTCGATTTTAACAATTAATAAGTAAGCAAAACCAAGTATACACACTTTTTCTTTTTTTTTGTTTTTACACCAAATATTATTACAAAAAGAACAGTCAACCAGATTAAGTGTGGGCAACCCTAAAAATAGAACCTCTTCTTTCTGTTCGT